CTTTGCAGCTGGATTCCAATTGGTAATCGGCCAACCAATCAGATTTCGCGGCGAATGGGCCGCAGATTCGAGCCCAACACCCTCGAAAACCCCTCGGTACATGTCTTGTGCTTGCTCACAACATGCTGCCCAGTAGTTCTCCGATACTACCGAATGCTGCAATCTCATAGGTCAATTACACAGGTGGGCCTGTTGCAGGCGAAAGACCGATGTTTTTTCGACAAAAAGTAGTCGTTGACCTCCTATTGGATGAGAGGATGGCTTCTGAAAAGTTTCGTTGGATTTGCTCGTACGGCGTAGGAATGCATGAAGAGCAGACAAACAAACTTTCTTCTTTATAAAGATAGATAGATAGATGGATAATGTATTTTCTACTTTACAGTGTTATCAGTTATCACGATATATTTATAAATAAAATACAGTTAATACGCTTTCTCGAGTGTACTTGATCAACGTTTTTGCGATTACCAACAGATTTCTTACAATTTTAGTCGCACAAGTAGACTGTTGCAATTGGAAAAAACCTGACACTGCTGGATTATTCACAAAAAACTGTTTGATTACTGGCTTGATTGGTATATTGAAGCTTCGTATCATTTCTAAAGTATTGCAAATAATATTCGTAAATATCTTTTGAAAGATTATGTCGAACAAGTGTAAAATTTCTTAAAATGTCATTTTTCATAATGCCACATTGAATTAATGATTTAAATACGTTTAAAGATTTTATACTGGTATAATTGCCAATAACGCCAATACCTTTAAAAAAACAAAAGAACATGATTTGAAATTTCGAAACGCTTTACTTGGGAAGCAATAGAACACTTCAGCAACAAAAACTCTTGTGAGCCAGTTCCCGTAAACTACGATCGATGCTCAAGGAGCGTGCTCAATGAAAACTGTTAGATTCTTCTCACTTTAAGACATGCAGTAGAAGGCACAGTTTTATGAATTTTGACGCAAGCTGTTTTCAAAAATATTGAATTTCCAATTTTTTATGATTTTTCTATGGACTGGCTCCTGTATCGATATACATCAAAATTTATATAAGATTTTAATTACTGCACTCTAAAAAAAAATCTTCGCAGAATAAAAAAATCCATAATGGATTTATGAAAGTGCAACAATCTACACATCCTTCAGGCGTACATCAAAGTTGTCAATGTACTCTTGAAGGGTACATTGGCTATTCTGATAAACGTTCAAAGAGTACATTGACAATTTTGATGTGTACCTAAAGGGGATTACAGGATTTGTTGCCGCAGCCTTTACTGTCGTTGTAAGTATTTACTATTTCAGATAATTTTTCATATAAGTTATATTAAAAAAAAGTAAGTATTTGTAAACAAACTACTGTTCAAATGATCATTTTCCTAAAGATAAATAATTGTTGCAATTTTAAAGAAACAAAATCTTTGTTTTATTTCTCTAATTGTTCTCATTTTTTTCCAAGGCGGGGACATAGGGCAGAGTTGAAACCGGACGGATTTTTTCCATCCGATCCGGTCCGGTCCGGTTGAAATCCGACCGGTTCATTTTTGACGTCAAACTGGCAAAAATCCGGCAAAAATTCGTCAAAAATCCGACTGGTTTATTAACTACGATCAAAAGCGACTACTACTAAATACAATCGAAGCTATGCATGTACATGAATTTGTACAAATATTTTCGACATATGTTCTATTTTTCATGTAGAATTTCTAATAATCGCTGACATAATATTTCAACGCAAAAAAAGCGAATAAAAGTTGTTGTCGTCGGAGAAAACTTTGAAATACAAGGATTCATTTCAATATTATGAACTGGCAAATATCGGGTTTCGTCCGGGCCTGTTTAATTTTTCATCCGGTCTTGTCCGGTCCGGCCGGACCGGAGCCGGACTGCCGGATCGGTTCCAACTCTGACATAGGGATATTGAATGATTGAAGAAATTTATAGAAACATATTTTTTCTGTATGAACTGAATATTTTCGATTTCTTTGTTTTTGACGTTGCACATGTATATAAATTAGATAAGTGAATAACAATCAATAAAAATATACAAGTGATGTTTATCATTTTTATGTTATTCGATCTTATCATGCCAGTAAGTTCAGGAAACGGCATTTTGCCATTTAAACAGTATCACGTACAATTGATTACATTCCCACGCCGTTCTTTAAGGCCTATTTCCAACTATTTTTCGTTTGAAAAAGAGTTTCGACGTGATAAACAATTTTTTTGGACAATAAAAACTCTTAAAACGGCAAAATCCCATTTCCTGATCTCACTGGGATATGAATGATCTACAGAACATATATGGAAGATTATCTTATAAAAGGAAGGGGGATTAAGGAAAAAAAGGATGTTAAGGTTAAAGCGATCATTATTCTGATTTTTGTTAGATTTATCTCCGACCAAAAAAAAAGGAAGGAATGTGAAGGAACGTTTATTCTAATGTTTTTTCTCATAAATCTTTTGAATCTTGATGTAACTATCATAAAATACGATTTTCATAACAAAGCAGTTTACTGTTTAATCTAGAAAGAACATCAATCAGCTCAATCAATGATTGATCATTATTTTCTTTTTAATTTTTTAATAAGTTTTTCATTTAAACAAAGTGCGCCTTATTAACTTTACCTAAAGCAGTAAATCCTGCATTCGACCTAAAGGTTTTGTGCATTGTTGCACTTGTATAAACCTATTATCAGGATTCGATTTTTACGGAATTTTTTTTCAGTCTATGACAAGGTCAAGTTGACAAAAGCTGAAAATGATCTGTTGTTTTAGAAAATTAAAAGAGGAATTCACTCTTACCCAACGATCTTTCATTATAACCTTTACAATGTGCACCAGCATATGTCCATCCTCTGCCTATATAAATTTGTTGTTGGTCATCATTATCATTACACAGCATAAAATTATAAGCAATGTCATCCCAATTTCGTGGTTCACCCATGTGATAATCTTGAAATCCTTTTATTTCTCTAATACAATCTTGTTGATTCGTAATTAAATTCGAAGGTTTTGGTTCGAGTACAACAATATGTCTAACTGGTGATGTTGTTAAATTCCGACGACTTCTATACGGACGTGCATTCCAGCTAGATCGACTAAATACAATGGGACAACCTAAAAGAAATGAACATCGACATGTCTATTTTGTATTTGTTCAATAAAGAATAGAACCTTTTTGTTTTTTTTGCAACGAATAGTTTACTCTAAATCTATCAATTTTCACTAATCTGTTAACTGAAAAATCAACTTTACATGCTTCCTCGGAGTCTATGAAATACAGGATCACTAAGGTCCATTTCAGAGTTAAGTGGCCATGGGCATTTTTTGAGTAACTTTTGATTGGCTCAGGCTATCGAGCTCAGAATTTTAGCATTGGAAAGAGCACGGTCTGAGGCGTCTATCTATATACATTCACCAGAGCCAAAGACATTTTTTCCAACTCTTTCCACGTCGCTATGTTTTTCAGTCGATATTTTCATAAGTTTTTATGATAACCTAACCTCAAAATATACCAAATTATAACCCAAATCGTCCTGTGTACATTTTGTAACTTTCCCACTTCTATTGTGTCTAAATGATCTCTTTCGTCAACGAGTCATTTGAAGTTGTAATAATTTTACAACATATATCACGGCAATATGGGCTACAATTTGGTATATTTTGAGGTTAGGTCATCATAAAAACTTATGAAAATATCGACTGAAAAACATAGCGATGTGGAAACAGTTGAAAAAAAATGTCTTTAGCTCCAGTGAATGTTATATAGATAGACGCTTCAGATCGTGCTCTTTCCAATGCTGAAATCCTGAGCTCGATAGCCTGAGCCAATCAAAAGTTCTTCAAAAACTGCTCACGGCCACTTAACTCTGAAATGGACCTTAGTTTGACTAGACTACTTGGACTCAAAGTCAGTAACTTTAATTTCCAATAAGGAACGAATGGATTTTAATTAATTTTGTCTAAAAGCCAAACTATTTCTGTCGGGGAAGTTGGGAAGAGATTTCATATTTTAGCATTTTAGAACTTTTACTGTCAAGCTTTTTTGTTGCTCAGTTTTATCCTGTGGTAATGATTCTGTATCAGGCGTTGTCATGGTTGTAGACGTTGCCATACTTATAGACGTTGCCGTATTTTTAGACGTAGTCATGTTTGTAGTATTTTGTGAGGGATTTTTTTTAATAACAAAAGTAAAAATGAATGTAAAAGTTGAAGCCAAAAGAATAGCTAACACCAAAAATCCAATGATGAGATAAAAACGACTTTTTCGTTGTTTAAATTTTGGATTTTCTTTGACCTCTTTCATATTATCAGCCGATGATGAAAGTAATGCTGCTCTTGATGTTTCACTATCTGAAAATTTTTGACCAATAGAATCGAAAGAGTTCATTTTTTTCGAGATGCATGAAGAAAACCATATTACTTTCTGGGTGCGGGTGCAGAAGTGGGTATGGTATGGGTAGGTGTGGGTGTCGATGTGGGTGTAGATAGTCATTGAACTACCCACTCCACACCCACACTCACACCCACACACGCACACCCGAAACAAGAAAAATCCTATTACTGTCGGCTCAGTTTTTACACTAACGATCATTTGCAATCTGACGTTCTCCTTGCCTAAGAACAAAAAAAAGATGTTTTCGGCCCTAGCCAATAGATCATATCCTCTTCTAATATCGCTAAACATATCGTCCTTTTTGCTTCAGTCATTCAGGCATTATGGTTGAAATACGAAGCATATATTGAATTGCCTAAATCTAGTGATCAGCAATCCCAGTCTGTTTTGGGTAAAAGTTCAAAAACGGTTTCCAATATTCCAAAAGCTCGTGCAGAATTTTCTGAAGGTATGTACGGAAGGAATCACGATCTTCGACTAATTGCAAGAAGAATTTTCGATTTTATAATGGACTTTTTATCTATCCTAGAAGTTTATCTTTGTCTTTTATTAGAAACGGCAGCTTTTTGTGTCAAATACGAATACATGAAAACACTAGAAGTTTATCTGGCCTACAAACTAAGACGTGGAAGTTAAAACAATTTCATTGTACGAACGTAAAAATATTTTCCTTAATGCTCTTATCTATACCATGTTTCTGAAGAATATCACTCAGCGAAAAGAGTTTTTACATGTGCTAAAAGGCGCATTTTCGCAACAAAAAACAGTCCCGTAGGAACGATTGTTTTAGGATTTGCATGGTACAGAAAAACTATAAAGTCAATACCACGGTAACCGTTCATTTCAGGAGATTACGTTTCGTTTCACAATACCAGGTGCGACATAAAGATTGCAACATTTGATATTTTTGAAATATCACACTACAGATAAGTCGTATATTCTTGAGCTTTTTTAAAACATGCACCATGAAAAGCTCTACAAAAGTTGTATGAACAAATTCTTATTGGAAAACACAATCGGTCTTCCAAATATTTCAATTATACTAGATACGGTGGGACGTAGCACTTTCATGTGACCCGTTCATTTTGGGTATAGTAGACATCATCAGAATAAGTCAATAGGGATTTATTCTTACAGTTTTTGTAGAGCTTTTCACGGCGCATCTTTGAAAAAGTCAAGATTATATGATTTATATGTAGTGTGATATTTGCAAAATACTAAATGTTACAATGCTTGTGCCGCATTCATATAATACAAATAAGGCTGTTATATTAATGCGACAGAAAAGCAAACGAGAAAATTTTTCTGAATCATAATCTATAGTTCTAATAATGCTGTCTCGTAAGTGCGACATAAAAGTAGAAGATAAAATTTATCTGGATCGTAATTTAGAATTTGAATAAAGCTGTCATATAACTGCGACAAAAAAGCAGATGATAAAATTTATTTGAATCATAATTATAACTCAAGAAATGACTGCACTGTATAAATAATGGAAAAGCAAAAAATAAAAGTAAGTTCTATGAACATGACATTGGTGTGGACAAAAATTTGCCGGCAGTGTTCTTGATAAAAAATGGATTGAGTTATAGGAGTTTTGTTCTAATAAAAAAGTACTCAAATAATGCGTTAAATCAAAGGTGCTAAGTCTGGACTACCTATATCTTTATCTCCTATATAAAGATCTGCCTCAAAGATACATATCTTATATGTGAAACTAATACCCATTTCAAAAAAAGAAAAAGCGTAAGTATTGTTTGAATAAATTTTGATAGAAAAGAGATAGAGAGCCGTGGTTTTCACCGCTGGAGAGAGGGAATGAAGACGTCTGGAACTATATATAATAAGTTTTTTCGAAAATTTTTGGTAAAGTTTTCTTAGTCAATTTTTAAAACACGCTGGAAAATTAGTTTCTCATAAAATAAGAAAAACGCAAAAAAGGTTTTTTTATTTTCGCAGAAATTAATAGAAAAATCAGTTCGAAATTTCGAGGAAAATCCCCATCACCCCTGAACAATTAAATCTAAAATCTGGGTCTTGCGTAGTTTTGTAGATCCTCGATTAGTGCTTCGAAAGCACACCTGATTATTGAAAATGTACTTTAGTTCTCCATCAAAGTGCGTTGGTTTTCAAAGATGTCTACTTAAGGCCTTGAAAATATTAGGTCAGATTATCCTTTAATATATAGTTCCATGCGTCTTCATTTCCTCTTTCCGGCGGTGAAAACCACGGCTCTCCATCTCTTTTCTATCAAAATTTATTCAAAAAATACTCACGCTTTTTCTTTTTTTGAAATGGGTATTAGTTTCACACATAAGATATGTATCTTTGAGGCAGATCTTGATATAGGAGGTAAAGATATAGGTAGTCCAGACTTAGCACCTTTGATTTAACGCATTATTTGAGTACTTTTTTATTAGAACAAAACTCCTATAACTCAATCCATTTTTTA